ATAGGGGAGGTCCAGTCTTGGGTGATGCATGATGGTGCATTTGTAGGAGGTGTAGCGTTCAAAGCATTGTACAGCTGATGCGTTACCTTTGTAGAAGGAGTTTGAGGTCTAATGGGGTCCCAAGGGGTTATATTGTGGGTGAAAGTTGGGGTAGGGGTGGAACATGTCAGAGGAACTGTTGGTGCTATGTTTGGGATAGGGGAGGTGCAGTCTTGGGTGATGCATGATGGAGGTGTAGCGTTTGAAGCATTGTAGAGCTGATGCGTTACTTTTGTGGCAGGAGTTTGAGGTCTAATGGGGTCACAGGGGGTTAAAGTTGGTGTAGGGGTGGAACAGGTTAGGGGAGCTGACGATACTGTGGTTAGGATAGGGGTGGTGCAGCTTTGGGTGATGCATGATGGTGCATTTGTAGGTGGTGTAGCGTTCGAAGCGTTGTGCAGCTGATGCGTTACTTTTGGGGCAGGAGTTTGAGGTCTAATGGGGTCCCAAGGGGTTATATTAGGGGTAACAGATCGAGTCAGGGAGGAACAGGTTAAGGGAGAAGATGATACTATGTTTGGGATAGGGGGGGTGCAGCTTTGGGTGATGCATGATGGTGAATTTGAGGGAGGACTGGAGCAAACAACAGCTACATTTGGAGTCGAAGGTGGTGACACAACCGTATAATAAGGGATCGGGTGTTGGAGGACCGTAGGAGAAGAAGTGGAGCAGGGAATGGAAAGTGCAATTGGTGGAGGTGCAGTTGAGCAAGGGGGTTTGGCGCAGTGCTCAGGGGGTTTTACAGGTGATGGGGAGGTACAGTAAGGCACAATAGTTATTTGGGTGGTGGGATTCGGGGATACAGGACTCTCCGATTGATTTTGCATGGAGCTCAGACAGACTGTCGGAGGTGGGGAAGCACAGGGGCTGCAGATTTGTGTCTGGACGGTGCAAGGTTCATGATTTGGAAGCGAGTCTGTTTGTATTTGGGTGGTGCATGGCTCAGAGTGGGCGGTTTTAATTGTGCATTGTTTCTCAATCACCGGGGGAGTTTTCGCTTGGCTCTCAGTTTGACTTTGCGCAGTGCAGAATTTTGAGTCTTGTGGCGGGGAGGGGCTCTCAGTTTGAAATTGAGTGGTGCAGAGTTTGTTCTTTGAAGGGGATTTTCTGGGGCTTTCAGTCTGGGTGGGAGTGGTGCAGTGGTGCACTTCCTTCCCAGGATCGCTTGTTGTCCGGTTAAATCGTTTTCTCCTCCGTATCGCTGCGGGGGTGCTGCTGCCCTGACGCTTGGATCCGTCTCGACTGGCCACCATGGAGCAATGAAATGCGTCCACGTTGTGAAGCACTGATGGCGGGCAGCTGTGGCGAGAGTTCTTCACCACGCTAACAGCCGATTTAAAGTCCGTCCTGGAGGGTTTCGACCTCCGTTCCACCGCCGTATAATCCCCAGCAGGACCGTTATGATCCTTTGACACCGACACGTGGTTGTGGGCGAGATACTCATCCTGCGAATCGTGTTCGTCATCGCCATCCATCCCCCGCGAATCCCCGAGGCTTTGACTACGAGTGTGTGAGGACTTATCCAAGCATGGGGAGGTCTGGATGGCGATGGCGGTGCTGGTGATCGCGTTCGTCCTCCGTGTCATCGGTAAAGTCAAGAAGTTGGGCTGCGGTGGAGCCCAGCATCGACGCGTCGGCCCTGGAGTCAACGGATGAGGCGGGGCTCTCGCTAAGAAAGCAGCCACCACCTCTATAGTACTCGCCATATCCCCACGAACAACCCCAACCACGGACGTTTGCTCAGGTAGAGTCCGCGGTCCGTCCCTGTCCATCCACGGTTTTGGCGACCTGTGTTTTCGGAGAGGATGCGGGCTGTCACAATCAGGCCTCGGATGGCTGTTGTGTTCCCCGGTGCCGCTGTTTCCGCTGCTGCTGCTGCCATCTTCCAGGTCTTTGAAGCGGACCTGGTGCGTTCGGTTTCTGCGGCGCTTGAGGCGGCTCTCGATGTCTGGGGAGTCGCGGTTGAGCAGCACCGAGCGTACGGTCATCGTCCCGGGAAGCTTGTCGGCCAACGTGGTGCTCTTGCCGTTGGTTTGGCCCGTGAGCACGTGGTTGGGCTCTTTGCTCACCATGTCTCCGGTTTCTCTCGCTGCCCCAACATCCACAGTCTGTTTGATGTCGTGAAGGCTTAGATGTGTCAGTGCGGCAACAAGGAAAGCGATCCCCTCTTTAATATATTGTCATCACAACAGTGAGAGACCTGCACAGTTGATTGACTGAGTTTCATCACAGAATTGTGTGCAGGTTTTCTCAAATCTGCAAAACAAGGACTTCCTCTGCAGCTAAAAGATTGTCCTCCGGAAAGCATTCACAGTTCAAGTTGTAGATATTTTAAGCACAGCAAGTACAAATTAAGTGTAGATCACCGTGATCATTGCTTACCCCTAGAATTAATCTACCTCGTACAAAAATATATGCAGCATCAGATACTATTTAGAATGTAAAGAGTGTACGTTTCCCATATCTTCTCAAGTTGTCCACTTATTTCTCTTTAAACTTCCAGGGAGACGAACTCTTCAGACCGGTAACTAAGCAGGGAGGAAGGAAATGCATCCTGTCCATCTTTCTGCGTCAGCTTGTCAACTTGGCAGATACTCAGTCTCCACCTGCTTTGTCCCCTGGGCCCTCGGGTGATTGGATGCCCAAAGTACGGGGCCGGCTTGCAGACTTCCCCATAATGGCCGATCTATTTCAACTTCTTTTTTTGTTCTCCTTTGCTTTGGACTTTATCTCTCGCTCTTCTTTTCTTAGCTCTTCTCTCGATGACTCATCCTCTCATGGTTTGAAACCCAGCGTGAGTTCCTGAAGAGAGCAAGAGACAAAAAAGAAAAAGAAAGGAGAGTAAGACACTAATTGTTTCCATATTATTGCATTTCCATTCAAACAGATATCGCGCCGGCTCCTGGGGGATAATGGAGATATCAGATATGGCAGCTATTTTAAAAATGCATGAGAGCGAGGTCAACACATGAATGGGAAAGGAAGACATCAATTCAGGAAATGTAATGAAAGGGTGTAGGCTGTAGAAGGAAGGAGAGGATAGGGAAAACACACGAGGTAAATCATCAGCGATAGAAGAATATCCACAAAAGATATAAGACAAAAGAGAGATTATAATCAAGGCCTATTCACATTGACTGAAGGTGTATTCTGTATTCCCTTTATGTAGGCTTACCTTTTTTATATCTAATGTGTGTCTTTTGTATGTATGCAGGGTTACTTGTAAAATAGTGTATGCAGGGTTACTTGTAAAATAGTGTATCACAATGCAACCTGGTTATTGGATTAGCTCAATGTCAAATACAAATACCTACAAATTGAAATATCAATAAGATGTGTTTTACTTAAGTGTATTATTTAAGACAACAGAACAATGTGGCCTTAGAAAAGAAGAAACCAAGATATGAAGTATGAAAAATGCGTCCTCTGCCTTTTATTAAAGAAGCCCTATTCTGCTTTTTGGGGGTTTCCCTTTCCTGCAGTGTGTTCTATAGGTTTGTGTGCATGTAAATGGTCTTCAAAGACTAACATCTCTCCCACACACTCCTCCCCCTGCCTGAAACGCCTTCTAAAAGCATGTCAATATGTCACAGTAGAGGCTTTAGATACTAATATGAACCTGAAAACGAGGAACTTTGGGATTTTAGCCTTTGCAGACCGTTTACATGCACACAAACCTACAGTAAATAACACACTACAGGAAAGGGAACAACCAAAAGAGCTCAATCTCATCGCCCTCATGTTGTTGTTATATGCTGAAGAAGGCAAGAATGTAAATTATACATTAATTGAGTATGCTGTTGTTTTCTAATAATCCTGCCTGCACCATTTTCAATTCGCACTTTTTTTTGTCTTTTCTAACTTTTCCCCGTGTCATTTTTATCCAAGTGTATAAGAATGTGTGTATCCAGTTACATGTAATCCCCCACCCTGTGTGCATGCACGTACATCAGTGTTATTCATGGTTGTTTCTGCTCAGGGCTCAGTGAGTTATTCCTCCTGTGTGTGTGTTTTACAGATTTCTTTTCCCCTCCATGTTGAACAGCCCTGTTATCAGTCCTTGATGATGTGCCATGGTGACATCCTTTCTGATTCATCTGGTCACTGTGCGACAGCCTGTCTGCCTCGCTGTATTTAGTAGCATGTTCTCGTCAGTCTGATTCTGCGGCCTCTTCGTGACGATCCATGGCCTTGATACGTATATATATATAAATCACTTCCACTTCCTGTCTGAGCCACTGGCTGCCGTTTGCATTGCACCATCGATGGATCCTTGTTATCTCCTTGTGATATCCTGACAGTGACAGGATAATTCAGCGTGCCGTTTCTCTACCTCCACTCTTTTGTATTTAGGGAGGGGGAGGGTTAATTAGTGACTCCTTCACAGATCCCAGGTTATTTAGGGAGAGAGATACCCAAAGGGGCTGCCACTTTTATTTACGTCCACTGTTTTCATCTCTTTTCTTTCTCGGGCTCTGAAGAGGCGGATCTTTGTCACAACCGCGCCCCCACTGTCAACCCCTTTAAAAAAACATGGTTATTAGGATTAATTATGATTAAAGTCACAGCCAACAGAGCCTCGAGGGGAAATATCAACCACACACACACTCAGAAATAAAATGCATTTACAAACAAACCATGGGACTCCTTGTCCTTTTACTTTCTTATCAGTAAGCAAATGGAAGACAGCTCACTTACTGGATATAGGGGCTGAAACCCAAATGCAAATGTGTATTTATAGCGTACTACAATCCGTGTGTATGGAGGCCGACCTGTGCAAACCCACAACAACGGCCCAAATAACATCAATTAGGAGAAACACGCAGCAGTTTCCAAAACGTTGCAAATACAAAGTCATCTTCACCAACTTGACAACGCATGAGCAGCGTTTACTAAAAGCTGCAGAAACCAAACGCTGCAAGAAGTTCAAAACACAACGGAGACATGGGGACACTAAAAAGAGACGCACACAGCTGGGAGACCAGGGGACACTAAAAAGTGACGCACCCAGCTGGGAGACCAGGGGACACTAAAAAGAGACGCACCCAGCTGGGAGACCAGGGGACACTAAAGAGTGACGCACACAGCTGGGAGACCAGGGGACACTAAAAAGTGACGCACACAGCTGGGAGACCAGGGGACACTAAAAAGTGACACAGCTGGGAGACCAGGGGACACTAAAAAGAGAGGCACACAGCTGAGAGACCAGGGGACACTAAAAAGCGACACACACAGCTGGGAAACCAGGGGACACTAAAGAGTGACGCACACAGCTGGGAGACCAGGGGACACTAAAGAGTGACGCACACAGCTGGGAGACCAGGGGACACTAAAGAGTGACGCACACAGCTGGAACTGGAGCGCTTGGTGACGTTCAGGATTATAAAGCTGGACAACTGTCTCTGTCGTTGGAAACTTACCTAAAATGTTTGATGGTCTTATTTAAAAAAATTTGATCACATGACTTCTTCTGATGTTACTGCAGATCTGCGGTAAGCTAGCTAGCTATCGTAGCTAACCTAGTCATTTCAGATATCCTGACAAACACTTACGGTACGTCCACACCGCAGCGTGCGTAGAAGCTTGCCGTTGGGTGTGTCTGGTGCCCCGGTCACACAAGCACGCGGTTTGATT